TTCTCAGGTGCCTCTTGCTGTCTCTCTGTCCATAGTCTCTCTTTATGCTCATCTTCCATCCCCCCACTCTCCCATCCCCCCTCTAGAGGGAGACATTTGGCCTTGCTAGAATGACAGAATAAGAACCCTGGGAGGGAAAGCTCGCGCTTCTGATCCTCTCCCTTCGGGGAAGGGAGGTTGTAAATTCTGAATAAAAGGTAGAGAGGGGAGGACTGTTCCACGTTTTGTGGGGAATGGGTGGAAATTTCTCGGGTCTGCAGCCTGCTCTGTTCTTGGTGGAGGTGGCTATGTCAGGTGTCAGTGTGCGGGACCTGCCCGACCCATGCCTGCCCCGCGTCCCGCACCTCCTCTCCTGCCCTCCCCGCACACAGGTGGCTCTGGGATGCAATGGGATGTCCTGGGGGTCACTGGGGGTCACTGTCGCCTCCGTCTTGTGTCCAGTCGTCTCTGGGTCCTGGAGGGAGCTGATCCTTCAGAGCCTGGGGTCAGAGGTCATCGCGGCCCTGGCAGTAACCGCTCCTGTCCCCGCAGCGCGGTTCCTGGAACAAGCAACCAGCGAGTGTCACTTCCTCAACGGGACGCAGGGGGTGCGCTACTTGCGGAGATACTTCTATAACCGGGAGGAGCTCGTGCGCTTCGACAGCGAGGTCGGGGGGTTCCAAGCCCTGAACGAGCTGGGGCGGCCCGACGCCGAGTACTGGAACAGCCAGCAGGAGGTCCTGGAGGACAGGCGGGCAAGGGTGGACACCTACTGCAGACACAACTACGGGGTCGGGTACGGCTTCACGGTGCAGCGCCGAGGTGAGCGGGGCGGCGCCGGGAGGGCGGAGACGCGGGGCGCGTGAGTGCGGGGAGGGCGGGGCGCGGGGCGCGTGAGTGCGGGGAGGGCGGGGCGCGGGGCGCGTGCGCGCGGGGAGGGCGGAGGCGCGGGGCGCGTGCGTGCGGGGAGGGCGGAGGCGCGGGGCGCGTGCGTGCGGGTGCGCCTGCGCCTGCGCGTGTGTGCGCACGTGCCTGTGCGCCGCCCACGTCTGCTGCCAGCCTGAGAAAACGCTCAGATCTGAACCCAACACAGAGCAGAAGATGATG